GCGAATGGATTTCCGCATTCACAAATACCGTTGTGATGGTGAAGGACAATCCCTTTGTTTACGTTGGACTTGGCATCGACAGACTAGAAATAGTCCAAATGATGTGTTGTAAAAAAAGTACAGATTGTACAGACTACATATACTACAGTTACAAACCAAAATAACAAGGAAAGCATTGGCAAGTTACTAAAAATGTATAAGCACAGACAAACCCGCGAGATGTCGTTACTCAGGTCCTATGTTTTGAGATACTATGGTTTCAAGAAAAGTTCTATAGAATATATAGAAACGTCAAAGTGATCCAATGCCAGCGCTGCGGTCAGTAGTTCGCGGAACTGATAACATTCAAATCAACCGTTAAATGCGTGAACGAAGATACACAATGAAGTGTTACGTCTGTTTGTCTGTGATAAGACTGTTGCATGGTGATTGAGGTTGAACATTAATGTTCACTTGTTACAGAATTGCTTCGCAGTCGATTCTTCCTTGCAGAGTATCGGCGACGGTTAAGGCGCTGAAAACATCTCTTCGGATACGTAAGGGCTCGACATTGATCAATTGGCAGCGATTCTCGTAGCTTGGAAGACGAAGTAGATATCTCCAAAAAGCTAACGGAGCGCAAAGCGAAGAAAACGTCGTTGCACAGATTCAATTCGCTTGGCCCCATTATTGTTGTTCGGGCTCCAGACTGCAGAGTAGTATTCCAACGTAGATCGTACGAGAAAGCAATAGAGCGATTTCAAGCAGTAAATGTGTGTGAAGTTTTTAGTAATCTTGAAGACAAAGCCAAGAGTTCTGGACGCTTTGTCGACGACACACAATATATACGATATTGAGTCCAGAACGCCTAAGTCTTTCACGAAATGTACCCGTTCGATAGTCGTACCTAGTAGTTTGTAGTTGAACATAATCGGTTGTTTCTTGCGTGATAAAGTAATGATTGTACACTTAGCTAGGGTAACCACTAGTCGGTTTAAACTACACCAGTCAGCAAAGATCTCAATCTGATTATGGAGAGATTGGCAGTCGGCGAGTGAGCGGATACACAGAAAAACTTTCAGATCGTGGCCCTGTGATAACATGGGGAACGTCGTCGAAGCAAAGGAGAAATACCAATGGTCCCAGATGACTACCCTGAGGTATACCGGACTTTGCGCAGAAGCTTGCTGAGCGACAAGTGAGCAAAGTTACTGTCAGTGGGCGCTCCTTAGGTATGAACAAAACCATCTCAAAAGATTGCCACCGATCCCTAGCCTATCAAGCTTAGCAATTCCGTGGTTCAGCTTATCGAAGGCTGCCGTAAGATCTGTGTAAATAACGCCCGTTTGGGTCCAAGCAATCAAACTGTCTGTGAGGTAAAACGTTAGGCACAGCAGGTTCGTAGTTGTGGAACGGCCAGTTATGAATCCGTGTTGATCTATACTTAGATATTGCTTGCAATGCGCATTTAGGGACTCTATGACAACCAATTCTAAAAGTTTTGATACAGCACTCAGCGACGTAATTCCCCGGTCGCGTTTGCTACCCTTTTTATGAACTGGAAACAAATCCTCAGTCTTCCAGCAAGACTGAAATATGCCGCTGGAAAGAGAGAGCTGGAATATGCGGCGCAGTGGATCTAAAAGATAAGTGATGTTCTCTTTAAGAATAATCGATGGAACACCATCGGGTCCAGCCTTAGCTGAAGTCTTAATTTTAGATGCTGCTCTAGAAATCGTATCTATAGTGGCGTCGACAACGTTAAGCGTTTGGTTGACCAAAGGAACATTACTGGACGCGGAAGTAATGAGATTAGCGGAGAGTTGCTCGTCTTCAAACATACTAGCAAATTTGGCTGAGAACTGGTTGCAAATGTCTTGTTGATTGCCAGCAGTTTCACCATTAAAAATCATGGAAGAGGGTAAGCCGACTTCCCTGCGTTGCTCATGTACGAAGTTCCAGAAGGATTTCGGGCGCGATTTTAGCCGCCGTTGCATCCTCCTTTGATAGCGTTGAAAACAGAGACGACTTAACCGCTTATACTCGTGGTTGAGTCTGACATAGTAGCATTTCAGCGGAAGTGTGCGGAATTTAGTAAATGTTCTGAGAGCAGCCTTCTTAGTTCTTTTCAACGAGCGAATAATTTTCGTCATCCACGAAACGAGAGTCGATATGGATGATGTTTTTGGAAACGTGCCGCCTGTCAATGACATAAGCCAAGACGTGAGAAAAGGTTTGTGCAGCAATGTTGACGTCTACAGGATCTAGAATATGCTCGCAATCTAGGTTAGACAGCACATGGACAATACTGCGAAGGTCAGCTCTACGGAAGTCATATGATACAGCGTTTGGAGTGCTGATGAAATCATGGACAATATTATTTTCGATCACGATAACTAAAGCAGGGTGATGATGCATTTCCTTGACTAAAGGTTCGGGTGTCGTGGAGAGGAAAGGAGCTATATCACGAGCACTCACAAAGCAGAGATCCAGGCTGCGGTTGTTTTCATTCAACAGGCCATTGATTTGTGACAGAATTGCGGTACTGTCCAGGAGCTGGCTGGTTTCTACGTGGATGAACGCTTGAGATCAGGGCAAAATAAACCACTATGGGTTGGAGTCCATGCAATATCCGGTAGGTTAAAATCACCAAGAACAATAACTTCATCGGAAGGGCCTGCTTTGTCTGAAGCGACCAAGACGGATCGACAATGTGTGTCAATAAGCTCCAAGTCACGGGTTCGATCTGTAGGGATGTACACTGCACATAGAAGCAATTGACGATCACCAAGTTGAGTTGCCACCCACACTTGTTCAACCGTGTTCCTGGAATCGTCATCGCTAACTTCTGCTTTCAGTTTGGAATTAACTGCGATAAGGACGCGTCCCCCAGTAGTTTATTTCATAGAAATATTTCGTAGCCAGCACCAAAGACATAGTTTGAAATGGTTCGATAATTGAGCCATGTTTCGGACAAAACTATAATGTCGTAACAGTGATCCACGACGGCCAGATGATAATCTTCCACGAGGCCGTTCATACCGCCTACGTTCTGATAGTAAATCGTTATGTCCGACCTCCGCTGTTCGGGAACAATGGAAGGTTCAGCGTGTGGTTGCATTTGGGAGATGGGCGATAATAAATTCGTCGGTTGATCATACTTGTCAATAACAAGAGTGTGACGTACACAATTTAGAACCTTTGGAGTATGGGGAACAACGGAAGTCAATCCGAGTTAATCCAGAAAAGTTTTTAGCGTTTCAAATGAACACCACATGCCTTACTTTTTACTATCAGATGAATAGCAATCTTTGCATCTGTATAACTTTTTTGTTTCGCCATGAAACATAGTAGACAAAATGTGTGAAATTATGGTCTACTGAAAAATGGAACAGATTGGCTTAGTGCAGAATTATGAATTATGAAGTCGTTAAAATCGCGGAAACCTTAAATTATGTCGCGAAAATGACAAAGGGATTGATGTGCTATCACAAAAATTTATGTACTATGTCAAATTACCATGATTTTCTTTTTGTTGTTCTTTTTATTATGACGTACAAAGCAGTGATATCAGTTTAAACTGGAGTCTTAAGGGCCACCCACATTAGATCCGGATCTGACGCGTTGTCTAACTGTCAATTTTACGTCAACGCAAACGGATCTAATGTGGGTGGTCACGGTTTTTTTTGCACGCATCTAGTCAAAGTTTAAAATCTTCCAGTTTTGTTTATTATAAATAGAACGTATTTTGAAGTATGATTACCAGTACAGAATTATTAAGAGCTTACACTATTCACTTTTATATTGGAATTAGAATGCAAATGCAATAATCAAAATCTGAGGCGATGCTACGGTCAAGCTCGCTTCACGGCAACGGAACAGTAAATTCGGGAAGCATATTTTTGTGTTTTATACAAATCGTATCAATGTTCCGTCATATCGTATCTTCAAGTGATCTTCGCCAGTGCCACTTTTTTTCAGGCCAGGGCTTGCAAATGCCACCTTGACGATTTTTAAAATAAGCCCATAGTGGTTTATTTTGCCCTGATCTCAAGCGTTCATCCACGTAGAAACCAGTCAGCGAGGCTGCTTTTATTCAATAGATCCTCATAATGTAAGGGTGTTTTATTGTGTTCACTAAATACTCAGAATCTATACTACCAAAAACATAAATAACTGAAGATGATAAATTGTTATTTTTTTATTTTTTTGTTTCAAACGGTACAAACGATACTCCCTTAGCTCAGTCGGTAAAGGCGCAGCTACGAAGCAAGCCCATGCTGGAGGCGGATGGATTCGATTCCCGTCCGGTCTATTAATATTTCGGGTTGGACAATTTCTCGACTTGGGCATATTTATGATGGTACAGTAATAGTAGCCCTGTTTGTAAATGGGATACAAATGATAGCTTCCATGTACTCCTACGGTAATAGGTTTGTTCCCGTAATTGCTATTATGTAAGATTCTGCAATAGTAAAATGTAAATGATGTTCCCGTATTTTCTGCGGTATATGATTTTCTTGCAGCAACTTACTACAAAAGCAGAAAAGAAAGTTCGGGAACAGACCTAATATCTCCTCCCTCCAAATCTTGGTACCACAAAACGAGGTCATATTGGTAAGCGGGTTATATATCACTGATGTTTAACATTATTTTTCTTCAAGTGCAATATTTTAGTGGTTTCAGGGCACAAGAATGCATCCTTGTCCAACATCATAAGACATAAATAGTATTACATTTCACCAAAAACAATGAGACGCCAGTGATCAAATACAAATAATGATCAATTTGAACTCGTTTAACGGTAACTTCTCAATGCAGCGCTTTAGAAAGGTATTCTTCGCCGTATTTTAATAGCTCATTTCTCACTTGGTAGTTGACCAGCGGCTTTATTGGTTTCCCAGTCGACCGTTAATTGATATAAACTCGTAACATTTTCAGTTATTCGGTTTATCAATCATCCCTTACGCCTTTGGTACATTCAGGAAAATTGTATATTTTCACATTTTCTACGATTTTAGGACCCTCCTGTACTACGTCTACGGTTACAGAAGCCCCAATCATCCAAAAAAGTGCAATGGACCAATGGTACGGTAGATAACGAGCACATGAATAGGAAGAAATCCAAATGTTGTTGTATCTATGTCAAACCACGAGAATTCGGCGAAAGTTCATCCGAAAGCGAAGACGATTGTGAGCATTGTTTCGGCCATGTAGAAATAAAGAAAAAGCATAAACCAAAACCGGATTCAGACTCCGATGCAGTCGATTCCGGTGGTGGGCCATCAAAGGGTGAGTACATTAAACATATCTGGTTACAATGATAGATACAAAGTGTGTTTCTTGGTTCCACGCAGATCCATCATCAAATGATAATAATGGGGATAGATCTGATGACCAAAAGGACAGTGAGTCGAGTCCGTCGTAATGTGATTATAAATAGATGTTTTTATTTAGAGGATTAGACAAAGTATTCAGTACCTTTTTTGTAAAACTTACAATTTCCCAATCCGTTTGGGTTTTTAATAAATAATTTTAGAGTGTAAAATAAATACAAATGAATTACATTAATTTCGATGACAACTCCTACATCCATGCTTGTCATACACAGTTTTGGTCACGAACTGCTCATTTGCTAATAACTTTACACAGAGTTGACGAAACATAGTTCTTTTTAAAGCAGTAGAATAGAGTTTAAGCTTGTTATAGATACATAAAACAAAGTAGATTTTAATTCTAGTAATAAACTGTATTTGTTTTTGCGTTGTAAAAATGAAGTGAGAAATGCCCGCTGCACATCTCGGATTTTAAGAGTAAAAATTCATTGGTGTTGATTCAAATGTTAATGTTAAAATTTATCTACTTTTTGCATATCTTTAGTAAGCTATGATCCTAATTTATCAATTACTTTAAAGAAAAACAAATTTCAACAACTGTGTGAAAAGTTATTAACAAATGAGCAGTTGGTGTGTACAACTGTGTATGCCAAGCATGTCTACATCATGGTCGTAATAATATGTGGCACGTGAACTATTTTTCCACATTTTAGGTAATAGTCTTTCACTTCACGATTAGTGACTTTGATTTTCCTTGGTTGCATTAAGTCATCATCTCTGTTTCCTTTCTCAATGCTTTCAACTACTTAGGTCTGTTCCCTTACTTGCTTTTTTGCTTTTGCTGTAAGTTGCTGTAGCTTTCTGTAATTTGGTGTAAGAAAATCATATGTATGTATGTATGTAAGTGGCCACCATCCTAGCTTGGGTCTTGCCCTGCATGCGGCTCCACTCAACAGCAAGATCCAAATGAATGAAGGGCCAAAAGCGGTTGGACGGGCCCGTAAGCAGAGGCACTTACGCGAAACCCGCGGGAATAAGAGAATCTCCTTCCAACAATATGATCCAACAAAACGAATAACGAAATTCTCAATACAGGTTGAGCTTTCCACGGGATGGTTTGTATAAGAAGAGCGCAACTGTTGAAGTGAAATATAACTATCTAAAATGACAGTACACATTCCCTCCTAGACTCCGGTTGGCACTTCACTCCTTTTCCAGTTACAACTTCAATAATGCTCTGATGCTCCCGTCCCAGCATTTTTGTAATATACAGTATAAATTTATACATAATCATGCAACATATAATGTTTATTAAATATGTAGTGAAATGCAAAATATAAGAAAATAAATAAGTTTTACAAAATGCAGATAGCCTAGATTTTAATTTACTGCAATTCAACTTCATTTACCCATAATAGTTTATTGGGACGTATACACACACTTTATGTTTTATATGCCATGAAATGACATAACGCATCACGGCATGTTTTGAAAATATGTTTGCTGTAAGAAAATCATATGCTGCAGAAAGTACGTAAATCTACTGTTTCGATGCGTTTCGCCTGCATGTCCATCGGTTCTGTTTTTGTCGCTGTGTCGGATTCCCCAGGTAGTCCGACGACGATTTTTTTTTACAGATTGACAAGTAAGTATTTGTTTTAATTGTCAACTTTAAAATCGAGATCAAAGGCTATCCTTATAAAAAATGCCATAAACAGATGATAACCCAAATCGTAGAACTATCCTACAAATGGTTTAGATGATACCTGGAACACGTCGTTTAGCAAAACAACCATAACAATTTTATTAGGCATGGGCAACCAATGTCATTCATATAAGGTCCGGGCCAACAGGCTTATTGGTGTTAGTGAAATGTGAAAATGTTTAGTGGTGTTCGTATTTCATTGCAATGTTTATCTTTTTACACGAAACAGCCATCGACAGTGACGTAAATCCGAGGGGCACGCAATATAATGAACCGGGTGCGTTTAAGTTAAAATGCAATCAAAAGTATTTAGACAATTGACACCGTCTTCAACCAGAGGTTGTACAGACTGAATACTTAACACTAGACAATGGACAACACACAACACCCAGTAGACCAGTAGGGAAATTTCCGGGTTGCGAAAAGTTCCACCGGCTGGAGCGGGAATCGAACCCTCACTTCGTGGCACTCACAATACGCCTGAACGACGGGTGACACCGCTAACCGCACGACCACGAGGCCCATTTAAAGGAATTAATGCGTTTCGAAGTAGTACTGACGGTAATTAAAATTATCTATCCGTAATTAATGTAATTAAAAGTATTGAAAATGTAATTAATGTAATTTAATTACGAAATTTCAACTGTAATTAATGGAGTTAAAAAGTAGTTAATGTTCAATATTGTTTAATTAATGTTATTAAAGCTGTAGTTAATGGAATTAATTTAATTACAGCCGTTGCCTGCATTGGAGTTAAAGGTTATTGCATGCCCTAATCAAAATAACCATAAAAGAGAGCTTAACGACGTGTTCGGGATATCATCCAAACCATTTGTGTGATAGTTTACCCATCAGGGATACAGTTCGGTTATGGTATTTGTTTATTAGGGTGCCCCTAGGGCAGAATCTACCCAGATCGACCAAAACTGAACCTACCCAAAAATGGGTAAACTATGTTGGGAGTGACAAGATGTCAAATGAACAAAGTCGATCGGATTCATGTCGATGTTGTCCATTTGTCAACTTGTCACTCCCAACATAGTTTACCCACTTTTGGGTAGGTTCAGTTTTGACAAATCTGGGTGGATTCTACCCAAATTTGGGTAGTTTTGAAATAGCGAGAATAGCGTTTTAGGGTTTTAGCGAAGACAACAAATCAAGAAGACTGGTAACTCTTCCATTTTCTCATACGAACGCTATGAGACAGGTACAATCGCGTCATCTGCCGCTCAAACGTAAATGCTTCGAACGAATTTGATAGCAAAGATTACATCCTCAGAATAAGGGTTTGTGTATTTGCTAATTTGTCTATGCGTTGCTTCCACCTTCACTCAAGCGCAGCGCCACTGTATCTGTCGCTTGGATTCTGGCAAAGTTGCCAGTCTTCTTGATTTGTTGTCTTCGGTTTTAGTGTGACTTTTATACAAATTAGATTAATTTTTTTCTGAGTGTTAGAGACATTTATATATAGCAAAAAAATGTAATATCCAAAAAAGCAGATACAATTTCACATCAATGCAGGCATAACATTTGAGAACGGCACACGGTTTGTAAACAAACTTTCTAAAGCCCTTTACACGCGAACCAAAGTACGCCCACGCAAACCAACAACATTATCGGATAAGGGCAACTATCACCTTTCCGAAAGTGGTATTGGTTTGCGTGGGCGTACTTTGGTTCGCGTGTAAAGGGCCTTAGAAAGTTTGTTTACAAATGCTTTTGTGCCGTTATCAAATGTTATGCCTGAATGGATGTAATTTTGTTCGCAAAATCGATGTACATCATACCGAGCATCATACAACCATAGTACTCTGGTACTATCTTCGGTCCCAAGCTAATCGATGCAACCCTCGAAACATAGAAAAATCCACGAACCCCTCATTTCATCTGTCAAACTTTCATAGCGACTCAAAACAAACATAGTGTAGTACTAGAATTTCGACTAGAATGGGATACGTTAATCGATTTGCTTGAGACCAATAGGCTAGTCAAGTAGTAAGCCAATTTAAAATCGTTAGTTTCCACCAGTTGGTACAACGTAATTTTACACAACCAACCTCTGTGCGCTGTTTGGAACGAGGTTTGGAAGTAATATTCAACACCTTTTTTTCTATGTATAGTATATACACACTAAGATTTTTTTACAGTATACTGTAAATTTTTACCAAATATGGAACAGCTGAACATTCGGTAATTCATTCGGTAATTTTTCAATTTACAATCTGTTCGGTAAATTTTCTTCGCTTGTGGGCTGTCAAAATTTACTGATCTGCGGACTGTAAATTTTACTAAACGATTGGTAATGTAGCGTTCAGTATGTTTTTTTTTTACCGAATCGACTGTACTTTGTTTTCAGAATAAATCATAAAAATTATAATTTTTATTGATTAACTAATTGTTTCTTTCATTCACAAACCCAAAAATTCATTCGACTATTTAACCATATATTTTTGAATAGGCATTTCCATACTGCGTTCGTACAAACATTATAAAAAAAATCAGTAATGAAGCCGGACTCAACAAACCGTGCTAAAATCACTTTTGAGGAGGACATTGAATTGCCTAACGACCGGCGTCTGAAAGAAATTGGCCCAGAAATGAAAGCTTATTAAATTTTCGGTGTAAATTGAACAAAATCTAGCAAAAAAGTAAAGTACTTACGTTTCACAACATAGAACCGGAGAACACTCAACATCGAAATGGCAGCAAAGGTTGATTTTGACACGAGGTTTGGCAGTACAAAGTTTACAAATCTGTTCAGTAAGTTTTACGGAAAAGCTGTACTTCGTTACAATTTTTACAGAATTGCATTTACAGTTTCAATCAGCAAATTAGATTTACAGTTTTCGGTAAATTTCTGCAAATTATGGAAATTCAGCATGCGGAAAATTGTTCAAATAATATTGTTTACAAAGCATTCGGTAAAAATGATATTTCACCGAACAAATCCAGCAAAAAAGCACCTAACAAGATTTAAGAAATTTGGTGTGTAACTAAGGCTGTGAACTAGGCTGTGAACCATTTGGTGAATTATTTAAACTTTTGGTTAAAATATGACAGATGGAAAGTTATCGATTAACCCTGCGATCCGAGCGTGGTTATTTCTGACAGAAAAGAAGTTAAATTTTGACAACCGTGGCTGAGTTCTTCTCGAAATCCGGTTGATCTACAGCACAGGGATTTTCGAACATACAGAATAACTTCGAAATGTCACTTTTAACCACGAGTTAAATTTAACTCGGCAAATGGTTCACAGCCTATAAGTAGACCCTCTACTGTATATTGCTCAGAAATCCCTATTCTGATCCACCGAGTTGATTCGAATCAAATCGATGACGTTTTATTTTTTTCTAAGCCATCAGCTGTCGTCGATCTCGCTGGTGGTGGTGTATATTTTGTTGTTTGTGTTTGTTTGGAGGAGCAGTTTTATTTTTATTTACATTCACTTCGCTTTATTCATTATTCGTTTCGCGTCGCAGTAGTGAAGTGAGTGTGTCGATCAGCGCAAAATCAGTGGCGAAATATCGAATTCAGTGGCAAATATTTTAAAGTAGGTAAATAATCCCACTTGTTTTTAAATTTGTCTTCGTAGTGCTCAGTGCTCAGAAGAAGAACGTCTCATATCAAAAATTTACCACATTTTACTCTACAAACGACAGCGAAAGTTGGCTTGTAATCAATTGCGAAAGAATAGGTGAGTAATCGAAAGAAAATGTCCGAAGAAGGAGCAGGGCTTGCATTGCCGATGGGATCTCGGCGAGCAAGAGCGAATGAAAGGACGGAAGGCCGTTCCCGCTCCGGAAGCAGTTGTAGCAGTGGCGCCGAGGTAGATGAACTGGATTACTGCGAAAACTCCCCATGGGTCTTCATTCCGGAACCAATGTTTACAAAAATATTCCTCTACTTGAATCCCCGGGATCTGCTGAATGCTGGACAAACATGCAAACGCTGGAACAAACTGAGCCGTGACGATTACATATGGCGAAAATACTTCCAAAGGGAATTCAATGTGGACACCACTATAGGACTGAAGCCAGGTAAGGGCCTCTTTTGGATTTAATTCAAACAAGTATGGGCACTCGATGGTTGTGACATAATTGCGTCTTGCCATCATGTATAAGATTGAGTGTTCTTTTCGTTTTTTTATTACGCATAGTTATATGGCACATTATTCATATGCGATAGTTGCGTGTAGTCAAAGTACGATTTGTAATAAGTGTGCAACCATGCAGCTTTTATTTTCATATGATGCACTGTATTGGTGTATTGGTAATCAGCAACTATCACAACATGAATTGCGTAATTATAATGTTTGTAAATATTTACACAGTGCAGTTCATCGTCTGTTGTTTTGTGTCTACAGAAAATCTTTAGCATCTGTATCGCACTGTGATGTTTCGTTTTAGGCGCGGAAGCCTGGAGATCGGAGTTCAAACGACTGACGGATAATGTTCCAATGGTGATGACGGATGTGTTGACGAATCATTCACATCAGGTGTTACATGTCAGCTTTTCTCATAATGGGAAAATGTTCGCTACCTGTTCCAAAGATGGATTTGTCATTGTGAGTATCTTTTAGTTGTAATTTACGGAGTCGTTTAACTAGCTATGCTTTGTTTGACATTCATGGGCATTTATAGGTACCGCTAAGCGCTGTAATTGCGCGCACTTCAGGAATTTTCTACATTTTTTCCTTAATGTTTTCCCCTAAATGCTAGCAACTCTATTACATTACTCCGAATGTCAGTACCCAGAATGCCCGATTATCTGAAAACTAACACCGCAACGCACCGAAATCCGGTCACTTTTAAAATGAAATTATTAATGCCTACCAAGCTTAAGATAGCACGTAAATTTTATAATAGTCTGTATTGCTCTTTTAAGCAATATTGTCCAGCAAGCTGAGAAAAACGCTGTTAAAGATATGTTTTACATGGACTCATTATTTAATTTACTTTTAGGCATAAAAAAACTGCTTTTGAATTTTTCGAAAATGCATCAAAGTATATTGAACCGGATACTAAGATGTCTATAGGTTCCCACAAGCACTTCAATGTGTACAATAATATAGTTTTGGTATTTTTCTTAACAAAGTTGGAAACTTTTCGTATTCACTGACAACCGATTCCAAAGTTTAACTCATTTTGCGCCAATGATGCTAATGGAACTATTATGCCGCACAGGGCAGTGTACTTTCGATGGACGGTTAATTGTCCCATGTTCTATGGGCTTTCCAGGGGCCTAGCTGGCAGCCATTTTTTTGTGATGCTATCATCTGCTCTTGTCTTTCTGCTTATAACACGATTTTCTGTTCCTTTCCACCATGTATACGTCAGGCTGGCCGTATTTAAATAAGGCCCGTGATGTTGCCTACTGTCAAACGTATAGGATTGATATAGGGTTGCCAGACCCCTAGGGCTTTCATATACACATGGGACAATTATGCGCCCACAGGCAGCGTAGTATCAACAATCAATACGAAACTAACGTTTTTAAAATGGCAAGTTAACCAGCAAAACCGGGAAAACCAGGAAAATGTCAGGAATTTTTATATACATACCAGGAAAAACCGGGAATTTTAAAGCAAAACCAGGAAATATAATAATTTACAGATGTATGTCGGTTTGCTAAGCTTTTTCATGACAACTGCTGCTGCAGTTGAACCATTCCTGAAAAGTGTTCAAAGCGATGAACCTATGGTGCCTTTTCTTTTCACCGAATTAAAAAATCTAATTAAATCAGTTAAGCTGGGTTTAGACTAGGCAAGTCAAATGATCAACTCAGTTGATTTCAATTGGCTTGAAAAGTTGAGCCTGGTTCAACTTATTTCAATTCAGATGAGTTTATCAAGTCAACTGAATGCCATGGTTTACACGTTCAATTCGCGTTCAAGCAACTGACTTGATAAATTGACTTGCCCTGTCTAAACTCAGCTTTATGGATAAATTGGTCAAAACGGCGCTTTTGAAAGTGAATCTCAAATCGCTCATAAGTGTCGAATTTTCTGATGCTTTTTCTTGCCGGCAGCCAAGATTGAGCTGGGATTTGCTGTGAAAGCTGCGGTTAAAAGTCCTGTGGGAGAAAACATAGTACATATCGGAGAAAACCCTCCTAATTTTCCGACAGAACTGTTGTCATACCCTATGGCCATATATGTTTCTTGCCTCGATCCTACTATTATATCGAATTCTCCTGAAACAGCTAAAAAGCAGTTGAATTTTTGTCTTGAACAACTAGTGGAGAAGGGTAATATTAACGGTACGGTAGCAGACAAAATTAAGGTGAAATATAATGAGTTGTGTGATGCTCTTAATTTTAAGTAAATTTTGAAAAATAATCGCTGAAGTGAGGAACGTTTGCACAGATTGTAGATGAGGCTTATGAATGTTGCTGGCAAAGATTTTCCAAACCTTACGGGTTTCGTCACGAAAATTCTTATATTGTCGCATAGAAATGCCACGCTGGAACAGGGATTTTTCGTAAATAAGGAGTGCTTGGTTATCATCCAGACAGAAGAAAATTTTGTGGCTCAGCGCATTGTTCATAATGCAATATTGAATGCTGGAGGCGTGACGAAAGTCGGAATCACGAAAAGTCTTGCCAAAAACTCCTACGATCGTTATAAGGAAGCTATCAACAGGAAGAAACAGGATACTATCGATAGGGAAAGCGATGCTGAAAGGAAACGAAAAGCTGCTCAAAATGTTAAAAGCAAAAATACTTGCAACATCTAAAAAAAAAAAGCATCATTACTCGACGAGCAGATGAAACATTTTAACCCTTAAATGCGCAATATTGCAGCATTGCCAAACATGTTAAAACCTTTTTAATAGCTAGATCGTTTATTTGGAAGATTCAATTGAATTTGCTTTACGGAGCCAATAGTTCACTGTTCATTTTTTGTAACATTTGAAAATGATCGAGTGTAAAATTCATTCATTCAAACATTGCAAGTTTTCCGTTACACATTCTACCGAAGGCTTTGTGTTCGGAGTGTTAATGACATATAAATGCCAATATCGCTAAGCACCAATGTACCCATTTAGTTAAACCAGGATTAAGGCTTGAGCCTAGAACGAACTAGTAAAAAAGCGGCTTGAGGGGAGGTAAAGAAATTGGTCTTAAGCTGCTTGAATACAGTAGACGTTAGCTAAGTCAAAAACCTTGTACACCTCTTCTTGCATCTTACAAATAAAAATTATCATTATAGTATCTCATTGTTTCATAATTACGAAAAATAGCATTTTAGCTGTAATGAGCAATTGCAAGCCTGACTACAAATGCTCAGTTAATGGATATGTATCTGTCAAACTTTAATTTCAATTTGTTGACATAAACCGGATGAGCAATAATGTATTATAAATATTTTTTGTTATCTGGTTTGACACATGATATGCATTTTAGTTAGTGAATGCCCTTTGTTTGGTGAAAAGTCGACACAGCTCAGCGAACGTTGAATATACTTAATGGAATAATTATTTTACTTCTGTTTTTTTCAAAAGAATTATAGGAAATATGCAAAACTGATAGATTTAAAGCTTTGTTGAAAAACCAGTTGTATTGATTCTGGAACGGAGTGGCTCGCTTGTCGATTGCAGAATTTGGTCATCGATATGGACCACATATGGATGATGTCATGTGTCGTGTGTCGTGTGACTTCTCCAACGGTAATGTCGCAAGTGAATTCCCCTAGAAGTTGCAAATAGTGTCGAGAAGCTGTTTCGATACTGACTACCCGAGCAAAGTTAGAGATCAAATTGAAATCAGAATTTGCTGTTATGATGTAACTTACTTTGAATACTCCATTTGATCTCATTTTGGTTGACTTAACGGTTAACACATCAAAAATGAGAGCAAAATTTTACACTGTTGAAGCAAACGGAAAACTAATCCTGCTTTCAATGAAATCAATTTGATTACTGATTTTGCATTCATAATGTTTGACTGAATACGGGCCTGGTGTAAATGGTTAGCATCCAAGCTTCTCACGCTGAAAGACTTGAGCTCAAATGTCACCTCGGGTTGGTTGCGAATGACCTAAAATTAACACAAAACAATTAAACAATAATCGTTAGTTCAACGACAGATAAGCTTAACTTAAATCTTAAACAAGACGTTAACAGCAGAACTTCAAGTTAAGTTGCTTTCATTTAAAATGTCTTGACTGCATAATGAAAGCACAATATGATATCAGACTAATGTCGTGACAATTGAAATCAAAATGAGTATTCATTATGATAGGAACTGCAATCTTTAATATCGATTTGCTTTCATTTTGTTAACCGACTTTGCTCGGGTACTGGGTGAAGTAGCTTTGGGATTCCGATATGTTGCCAAATTTGCTTGCTGATGTCCGAGGCGGTGTCCAATTGCAACTGGATGTTCTTGCCTTTTTACTGAACAGGTACAAACTGACGATATTGTATGTTACAACTGTTAACAGTCACTACGTTGCTTGCCATTGAATGCATCCTTACTCGCCGACTGGTGTCGTACGTAGTGTACTGCCCTGTGCGGCATAATAGTTCCATTAGTTTTTTTTTGGCAAAAGAGAGTTATACATTGGAATCGATTGTTAAGTACCATCACTTTACAAAAGTTTCCTACATTGTTCAGAAAATGTCGCGAAAAATACCAAAACTATGGGACAAGAGCCCATGGAGAAACAAATCTGTAACAGCGTTTTTCTAAGATTGATGTTTTAACGAATGAGACAATTATGCTGAAAAGAGCAACGTAGTGCTCCACATACCCAACATTATGATGATGGTTTGCTCTGACTGTCTGCTTCTGACGGAGTATGCTCGCGGTGCTTAACTATTTAATCGCATGTACTCGATCGTATGAGGACTGATTTTCGATCATTGCACTATCGTGTTTCGAATTGAGAAGACGCTGGCATTCTTCTTATAATTGTTGTAGCGTTTCGTCATTTCTTTCTTCAAATTTTAAAAAGGTGTCGAGTCCGGATATCGACATCGCATTCTGATTTCAGTCCACAAAGATTTGTCGATTTGGTAGTTCTAAAACCATATTTTAAACAATTTTAAAATGCTGCACTCGACAACAAGCTAACCAGCTTTATTTTTCCTTCAAGGTCTGGAACTCAGCATACCCTTCAACGATCCGCGACTCGTACGACATGCGTAAACTAAGCTGGAAGTACACTCAGTTCTCGCAGTTCAACCAGAGCGATACCTTACTGTTGGTGTCTGGTGTACATTTCGGTTCACCACACAGCACGTCCGGCGAGATTGCCGTTTTTACTGTGCAAAGTAAGTTCCTATTTAATTTATCGTCCTTTATAATCGATTAAATTATTCACGTTTTGTTCCAGACGGCTTCCGACTAAAGTGTCGCGTAACGAACCGGCCATACGACATTTTCGGGACATGGTTCAGTGATCAGCACCTACTGTCGGGTGACCTGAATTGGTTAGCCCACTTGGTTAGTTCGTCGATTCTATGGTTGAACAAGGCCAATCAGGAAGTTGACTCGGAGCATACACCGATTCGTAATCAACTGTACAAATTCTACAACAGGAATGCAAGTTCCATCAGAGCCATTATGGTAGCAAATTGTCCTTGGCTGAGCGATGAAAAGATAGAGGAAGCCGGTGCCGAAGGACCAAGTACATCCGAAGGAACCGGCAATAAGACGAGTATCGAAGATGAAGAAGACGATAGACGGATAGGAAATCCTCTTTCGCACTATCAAATGAACCAAGATCAAGCCATGGATAACATGTACCGCGCCGGAAGGGGTTCGTATCGTTCATTTTGCAGCCTTTAGTGTTGTTGATTGCAAATGTCTTGTGTTATACAGTATTTATTCCAGATATCGATCTTGATTTTCCATATGTCCCTTTGGAAAATCAAGACTATGCCAGTCCGATACATTATTTGGATGAGTACCGTAGGGAATATGAGGACAGTTACTACGAATCATCGGACGATTGCCTGGACGACGACGATGATCAGGAAGATGACGATATGTCAGAGGTGGACGATTTGGACAATCTATGCCCGAAATATCTGATCTTCTCAACGGGATCAAAGACATACACGCCCCATCAAATAGGATTCAAACGAATGAGTAGCGTTAATTTCCCTCGACGCCTGGATCCCGGACCTACGTTGAAGGAACGGATTGCTTTGCGAGATCGACAACGGGAGATGGAGGTAATTATGCGTGAGATGTCCCAAGAAGAAATCCGCCTCCAATATATATTGCAGAACGAGACTCCTCCGATGGAGGCCAACTGGTCCAACTATGAGGCGGTTGCTGATCGTTTCGACAAAGTTGACAAGCTAATTGACCTGCATGGGCATATTATCGGTATGGGTTTGAGTCCGGATCACCGTTATCTCTATGTTAACAGTCGACCTTGGCCGAAGAACTATGTGATACGGAATCCATTGGAACCACCGCCGATTGCACAGGAAATCGACATTCACGTTATAGATCTGATGACTTTGAAGAAGGTCGGCACCATGTTGAGAGCACATAAAGCTTATACGCCAAACACGGAATGTTTCTTCATTTTCCTGGATGTGTGCGATAACTATGTAGCAAGGTGAGTAATTTTCAACTAACACCTAGGGTTTTTGATCTAATTTCCTTCGTACTAAGCACAACCCACGCTTTATCTCTCTTTTCTGAGCTAGTTTAAACAAAAAGGGGAATATTTGTGTCAAATATGACTTCTAAATTTATTCACCTTTCCATACGTACCATTGTATTTGATAAAGAGTCACAAATTATTGATATATTGCTTAAAATCTAATACTGCTTCTTGATTCTAAATTCGCCCTACGAGCTTCAATTCCGTCCAAACGCATTGAAACGCCATTAGATTTTCTTCGTCCAACGGATAAACGTAGAAAAAGGGGATTCGCTAGGAGCGCTTGTTTTGTTTTGAGAACAATGAGCGTAAATATTCATACAATGCGCTCTAATAGGATTTATGTTGTAGCTAATGAACTAACGCATCGCCACATACCTATTTTTTTTTCTTGATTTGTTTTCCGTCGATCTTGTTTTCCGTGCTGAACACCAATGCTACCGACGCCAGGAAGGCAGCTTCCACACCTGGACCCTACCTATCGATCCATCAACTTATGAACCGGGGACCAACGGCTTTACTTTACTCCCCGTGATCAGAGATGTTATATGCCTCAGAACATCCCGGCGGCGCCGACTGGGATTGAACCCAGGCCTGCTGGGGTGAGAGGTAATCACGCTTACCACTACACCACCGGCGCCGCTATACCTATTATTGATTTGTGCACGGTGAGATCATTGATATTATTGATCTTTTCTGATCGATAGAACGGAAATGGGCGATTACGACGAAGTAGCGCTCTACCCTACATTCTGTGATATTCGGAAAACCGAAATCTTTTTAGAGGTTCAAATTATAGATGTCGATTACATTATTGATATAACGTGCCGCAAACAACTCAAAATATATGCACAACATTATCCATTAAGTACGTCACGCTCAAAGCATTATTGCTCGAGCGAACTTTCTTGCTTGAGATAGAGAGACGACCAGCCAGAGAGAACGTATATTATGTGGTGTTTACATACATGCTGGGTTAGCACTGCCAAGTTGTTCAACCAGCTCAACATATTCGTGCTATTTGGTTGAAGTTGGCAGTGCTGAACCAGCATATATGTAAAACACCCCTTATGTGATGAAATAGACCACGAACTGTGACTCGTGAACTTCTTTATTGGTAACTCCTAAGCAGCCGTTGAAGTTTTAATTGCTGTTATGAGTAACGTAAATCAAGCGTTACAAAAAGTGAAAATCTTATAAATGCGTATTCAATGCATCCTAAATGTATACTTCCATCTATAATAATGCACGGGTTACTCCTACATGTATGCAACTTAAATACCATCATGTATAAAGCATAACATCTAATCTAGAAAAAGAAAACGTCAGCAGAGTGGCAGAAATACAGCGGGAGGATTTTATATCAACTAGCTCGTTTATTTTTTATTTTTTGTGAAATAAGTTCAGACAGCGAAAACGGAAATCTCTTTTGAAATAATTCTCTGAAGAACAGCGCAAGAATTTTTGAAAAATTAACTTTCAACTCGTAAGAGATGAACTAGCCTATGGCTAAAAATCCCTTAAATAAAAAAAAAACTTTCAACTTGAACCAGATCGCGAGCACTTTTTTGGCGTTAATTTCACCGATCCGTATTAATACATGGTACTTGTACTGGTGTTCGTTCATTCAGTCAAATACGAGGGAATTCGATTTGGTAGAAACAATTCGCGATACACTTAGGTCTTTTTTACACGGGGGATATGTACCGTGTAAAAAAACCTACGTGATTTTAATTTTTCACTTGCTTAAATGTTTTTAAAAAATTGGATTTTGATGCCATTTGTAATTATAGCATGCTATAGAAATATTTCAAAAATATCTGTATTTACACCAAAAATTGTGATTTCTTATAAATATGCCATTAAATTACGTATAGCTTGAAACGGATAATGTGATTGGAATCAAGTCGATAGGTTGTATCGTTGTCGAGAAATCGTTAAAAACGTACCGTGTAAATCGCGAAAAACCGTGTAAAAAAAGACTTCGGCCCTTATTACGGATGTCACTTCACGGTGAAGTGATTGCCGTGTAAATCAAATGGGAATCACTTCACCGTGAGTGATAAGTTGTCACTATTTTTTGTGCGCGCGAGTTCTACCAGCTCGAATTGACTCGGTTTTTTGACGTATGACCTGCAGGATTTCAATAAAGTAAAAGTAAGAAACATCTGTTCTAGACAATTTACTACAATGTAGATGCGGGACTCGGATTTTCCGGATATTTTGATTTTGCAATTTTATTAAATTTGGCAATTAACTAATTTGCCATTCCACATCGACCACATGGGCACCTAAAAACCAACGTTTTGACAAATATTTGCAACAGTAAAAAGAAAACTGTTAAAGGGAGAACAAATTTGAAATTTCACTATCCGGATATCCGGAAAGTTGCTATCCGCTTGATAACCATCTCAATGTTTTCTCAATAAAGCTTCTATGGACAATATTAAATAGAGTCTAATTCTTCAGTAGCAAATTAAAAACAATGGAAATGTGTTGCCTATATACTGCCGCTATTCGCATGTCCGTCCCATAGCGAAAATCACTAAGCCGAGAAAATCGCGTTTTAAGTTTGCTTCGTACCATTGCTTCTTATGTGATGGGACAACTAATTTGACTGTATTTCCAAACTTTTTCAGAACAAAGTTGTTGAGCTCATCCAGTATTCTGAAAATATGTGTGATTATCTACCATTTGCATTGAAAAACTCAGTTTTGACAAAAACAACTATGGGACCGACATGCGAAGAGCGGCAGTATAGGACCTATACAACTGGGACAGTTATGCTTGTATGCGTAACCTCTTAGGTGAACCGCATTGCAAGCACCACAAAATTTAAACTTAATTCTCCTATTTCCACAGCGGAGCTGAAGATATGCATGCGTATCTTTGGGATCGTTACTACGGAGTTTGTCTGGCTAAATATCAACACGACGATGTGGTGAATAGTGTAGCTTTCAATCCACGAGACAACGAAATGCTAGTGACCACAAGCGATGATTACGAAATTAAGGTGAGTTAGTTTTCAGTTCTACTACTCCAATTTGTTTTCACGATGTCACGATGTCTCCTTTTTAGATTTGGCGATCACTGTCCCAAGCCAAGAAGCTCGGCATTCAACCGGTAGGAAAGGCTGTTGAGTTCAGAAAGCTGAAATCCAAAGCGACAAGCCATTAAGCAGAAACTTCTCGATCGCATTACGCTTATCCCATTTCACACGTTTGTTAGTTTATGATGTTATTCAAGCGAAGTCTAGTCGTTGGTAGAATATCTACGATACGTTGGAGTCCACTTATGGTTCATTGAAGATTGCCGACTTTATGTAAGTACAGTTATTGAATATCCTACAACACAAAAAGATATTACTGTGTGAATCCATCAGAGATATTTCTTTCCCATTGCAAACATAGCTTACTATCGATTGGGATTGTTTATCAAATTTATTCACAATCGTGCAATGCAATCGTAACAAAATTATTGCTTTAACAAATCACAGATTTAGAATGCATATTTGCGAAATTTAGAATTTTTATTCTATTTTACAATAAAAAATCACATAAACCTGATGTTAGTGGACATTTACATCCGAAATATCCTAAAAGTGGTTATCAACACAGCAAATTAAGGGGCACTTGGTGCTCTGCAATCACTTGAATGCGCTTTTGGATTGTGGTTTTGTGGTCGCCGTTGTCGCCTTAATCTCCTCCTCTCTATCACCGTATAGATCCAATGTTCGACCATACCACCAGACCAGTACGTCGAAAAATACCCCGATCGCCGTTAAACCTGTAAGGATCGTACACGTTGTTAAAATCTATCATTGTCACATAACTTTTTGGAACTCACATAACGCCGTCAGATTGATATAGTATCGAAACAGTCGCTGATCGTACAGCTGACAGTTCCCCCGCTTGCCACATTCTTCGGTCCACACCAAGCAGGTACTATCGATGATTCGTCCGTAGATGATCGGACCTGGAATCAGAGCGAACAAACTGATCATCATCAGGATCAGCCCTTGCGTGAACGATTTGTCTTCCTTGGCGACGCATCTGAAAAGGCATCATCGTTATTTACAATAACTAAAAGTAAAATTATGGTGAAAATGTTACCTATAATTGACCAATAAATTCCCAATGCGACCAGATGCTCCAAAGCAGTTAATAATACTGGATATGATTGAGAAAAGATAGAATCCCAGAGCGCATCCCTTCAAGCATGCACCAGGTATAAGACGAGTGGTGAAAAGACTCTCAGTGGTGGGGGTTGCAGATGTGGTAAAATCTTTTTCATTTACTTCTCGGCGCCTTCGCGCGGACTGTTTCTCTTCCTTTTCTTCAGTTTTCTCGCTTGTGGTTGCGTTCAAGTCTTTTTCCTCATACCGATAATCATTGTCGTCGGCGTCAGCGTCATCGTCGTCATCGTAGATGTACACATCATCTAAAGGTGTTTCTTCCGATTTGGACGTCTTGTCTGTTTCAGTGCTGTTCTTTTGAGGTTGCATTGATTTTAGTATTGGAGAAGCAGCATATTCTGGCTCAGCCGTTGTTGATGTAGTAATACTGTTTATTGTACTACTGGGCGCCTCAGATGTCGACGTTGACGTTGATGTAGTTGTAGATCTGGATGTGGAAGTTGCAGTAACAAGGACGGAACTATAAGTAGGGTGCATTTCCCAAGGTTTCGTTATAGGTGAATAGTTTTCATTTTGGCAGGTACATCGGTCGTAGTATTTTCCCTTGGCATCCCACGCATCACAACCAGCGTGACAGGCGGAGAAGAACGTGATTCCTGTTTCTTCCTGACAGATAGGATTGTACGGAATTCCGTCACAGTGACATTGACTGTTGCATGTGGTTGAAAGATTCAGACGGCCCTGGACCAGCGGCATATTGCCATCCGGACAGGTTAGGAATAAGTACGAGAATTGGCCGAGCATATAGCCGACGCCAACGATTACGTTCCAGAAAAGTAATATCTTCGGTGAGGGCTTCTTCTTGGAGATAACAATGCCTGAGATTAGGAATCCGGCAACCATGCCGAACAGTGTGATGGGACCGGTTATGACTGTGGCGTTTGCTGTGGTTTTGTGGAATTGGACTTCGATATACTTGCTCAGGAATGTGATGTAACCGCTGGATCCGAGAATGTAGAATATGCCGGAGAGAATGTTGAACATGAGCAACTTGTTCTTCAGGAGTCGCATCAGTGCTTTCGGGAAGTCTATGAAAAAAATTAAAAATATCATTCATTTTCGTTTAATAAATCATCACTGTTCTTTGTTTATTATTTATTATCCCCATAATTTATCTGACACTAGACAACGGACAACACGTATTTCAGTTGCTCCTGAAATCTCATGCTGGTATACGCTGATGCCCTGTTTGCTTAGACTGGCTACTTCTTTGTACAGTGCTAGTACACTAGCACTACATCTGCACAGATGTAAACACCACATAATGTCGAGTTTGTAGCGCTACAGGAAGTCTTTTCCAATTCAAATCAAATCAATCCCACCAAGGTGGTCATACTTTAAAAATAGGCCTGATAGGACTAGGAACTGTAAATAATAATTAAAATCTCAAATGTACTAAAGTTGAAAAGACGCATCTGTGTCACTTGAAAAATTCATACATGTAAACCACACAAACACAAGAAATAAAGATCATTTTAAGTCAAAAAGTCGCTGCAGGAAGTGTACTGGAATGGATCGTCGGTACATACACTACCCATCATAAGTATGAGATCGCTTGAAAAAGTATTGCAACACGAATATTGAATCAACGCATTCTCTTTGGATGATGCTAAACTTTCCAACGTGATGCAATACTATTCTTTTTCGGTCGTCGGAGATGTCAACGCTCATGTAGGCCAGGAGGAGGAATTTAGACCGCACATCAGCTTACGAACTACAATGGAGGTTTAGGTGCTGCCCATCGAAGACAACTTGTGCAACTGTAGACAGTCTACACCTTGGTAAGTTGAGCACCTCAACCGGGGTATTATGTTCCGTCTCCGCCGAAAGTCAACCGATCGCCACCTACTCTGATCCAGCCCGTGAAACCGTCGCGTGACATGGGTATTCCGACCGATTTCATGGAGATTAAGTCCACGATGCTACCTATATACCGACCTAAGGTCCTGAGTAACATTAACAGGTAATCTTTGTCGACTTTCTCTTTGTATCCCCAGGGCCATGTAAAGACATTCCCAGGAATTTTAGCACACATATCGATAAAAGAAGCTTTTATCTAAATAAACGAATATGTGGTTTATCTAGCATCTAATACGACAAACACAACAAGAAACGCTTTTATGCTCAATTTATTAACGAAAGAGAAAGTCGACTAAAATCCGTAAGCAAACGTCAGACTGTGCGTGAAACATGGCGGACTTCGTACTATCCTTTCACTCCACCGAAAAATCCCATAAGAAACTGTCAATCTTTTCTAGAAGAGACAATTTTTCGACGGTGCCGTCAACGCCAATATATAGCATGCTGTGGCTGTCAGTTGCGTCGAATTATTTTCCCTGAAACGGCAATAGCATGCTGCGTCTGACAGTTGTGTTGAATTTTCATCCCTGAAATGAAACTCGAAGAATGTCCCTTTGATAGTGGATAGCTCCTTTTCTCCTTTTTATCAAATATTTATATTAGAATTTTAAAATTTACAACACGGAGAGCGATTCAAACAGAAGTGAAGACAGCCCATCTTTTTCGGGATAATATTCAGGCGTAACTGTCAAATTATCAACGCAACGCAAATGGATTTAATGTGGGTGGCCCTTTATACCCCGGACAGACTATGGCTTATATCATGTAATATAGGCTGTCTTGCAATGAGCACTCATACATAGGATTTCCAGTGAAAACTAGATGTATGAGTGCTCATTGCAAGACAGTCTATATTACATGATATAAGCCATAGTCTGTACGGGGTATTATACCCCGTACACATTACAGCGTATATCACGTGATATACGCTGTCTTGCAATGAGCACTCATACATCTAGTTTTCACTGGAAATCCTATGTATGAGTGGTCATTGCAAGACAGCCTATATTACGTGATATAGGCTGTAATGTGAACGGGGTATTAGAGTGTGACAAATTGAAGCTGCTGTATCATTCACAAGAGACGCGTAAGTTCTACAAGAAACTCAACGCATCTCGCAAAAGCTTTGTGCCGCCTGCCGAAATGTGTCAGGATAAGAGTGGAGGTATGTGATAAACGTAAGGCGATCGAAAGGTGGAAGCAGCACTACGATGAACACCTGAATGGCACAAAGGCGAAGAGCCAAGACAGCAGAAGAAATAGTTTCATCGATACGGTGGACGAGGGAGACATGACAACTTCCTCGAAAAGTGTAATTAAGGATGCTATCAAACAGCTGATACAATCTGGAAGCCTTTGCTCTGATGCCACTTCGCATTTTCTGGAATATAAAATCAACTACCAGAGAACATACAATACCAAACTGCTTCCCCATGTTAACTGCGATGGAAATATGGAGAAGGAAGCAAATTTCATGGTTGAAATCGCAACAGTGTCTGAGGTTTACTTCCTAGAAAAGTTAAAGTGGCAGTGCGATTCAGCCATCCTGCTGTGATTTGTGACCGCTGTATCATATCACCTTAATAACAAAGCAGCTGCGAAGGATGGTATCGCAGCGGAACTTATTTAAATGGGCCCGGATATGTTGGCTACTTGTCTGCACCAACTGATAGTCAGGATCAGGCTTCCGGAAATCTCAGGCGTACACAAAAGCTGTGAGACGGAGCGTCGCATGACTCTCAAATCCATGATGTGCTACATTAATTGTACAAAAGAGAGACCAGAACTATGCGCGCGACAAGCTACACGCTCTCAACAAATTCAAGCGTTTCTTTTTTTTTGTCTCATCAATTGCTCTCTCAAGCGACGCATGTATTCAATAACATGCGACTGTTTCGTTGAAACATCTCAATGCGCTCTCTCAGGGCGCCATCGCCGTGCGCTGTTTCGCATGCCTTGACTCTCGCGTTCCCATCATATGTGATGTTGTCGCGTGACGAGAGAAGGGACTGCAAGGGTTTGTTCACAGAAGACTTGTGTGCCCTTTTCGTATGCGTCTTTTGAAATGGGGTGAAGTTTTTAGATGGTTCCAGAAATATCTTCTAGTATAGATTCAAGCAGACTCAACACATGGTTCCAGAGACTGGAATCACCGTAAGATCACCACTCATGATCCTAGAAAGACGCAATGGCTTGTCGAAAGGATGCTAAAGGAAGGTAAAGGAAGACTACGTGAGCGGTGGATGGCAACCTTACGGTAGTTGGGATACCGTTAGCATGTTAGCACCCCAAATAATACCGTAATATCTGTGGAACTATGTGTCCTTCAACAAGTCCTTATGCGGAAATCTTCGAAAATACATTTTTTGGAAGCCTCTGAAGCTTTCAGCCCATTTGGTGGAAAAATATTAGGCTCAGAATCCCTCAGAATACTTTTACTCAGACCAGTAAAAATATAAATGGACGATTTTGAATGTAAAACAGCACTACATTATACTATACAAGATCATATAGTCGGCGTGAAGTCAGAAGGGACTAAGTAGCAAAATAAAAACAAGAAATGAATTAAGGATATCATAAGATCAAGAATTCCCTCAGCTACAGCTTTCACTTTTTCAGCCAGATTTGAAAAATTAGAGTAGCAAGAGAAAACGGTCAAATGATTTGTCCCATTACATAAGACACAAACAGCCAACTTTAAATTCGTTTTTCTCGAAATCAAAAAAAAAAATCACAGTTCGGTCTGACTTGACCGATCATATCAACACGCTAGTAATGATAAAACTCTGAAGATGAATATTTGTATTTGGTCTGGCTTGAGTGAACACTATTTTAAGGGATTATTTTCAACGCAGTAGTGTACTTTGCTGCAAAAACGTTGGTGGTGACTTCTCATTACATACACACAAGTCTACACTTAAAAATTAACCAAGTTTAACAAGTTGTAAATGTGTTCTGTTATGATCAATTGAGCTGAAATTTTGACACAAAACTTGCTTTTCCATTGACCTTTGTCCGATCAGCTATGCGGGGCTTAAAAAAATTTGGTATTTCTTACACGTAAAATTCAACATATTTGTAGTTTTGCGTCAAAATTTCAGCTCAATTGATCATAACAAAACACATTTACAACATGTTAAATTTGGCTAGTTTGTATGAAAACGACCTTTGTCCGATCAACTTTGCACCACAGTGTACGTAGGTACGAAATGCTGGATTAAGGTTAATGTAATAAATTTAGGAAAAAGTTGTGTCATATCTGTATTACGGATTGTTGCTAAGCTTCTTGCTTCAGGAATTGTATTGAATACCTGTCAATCAACAAAACTTACTACGGCAGCAACTGAATTCTTCAGATGTGTTAGGGTAAACGCTCCTATAGTTGCGATACGTTAGAAGCGTTAGGTTCCTATAGTTGTGTATTGAGTCTCCATACACAACTATAGGAACCTAAAGGCCGGCGCACAATGCATACGTTTTCAGGTTTTTTGACAAGGCATGGGCTAACTGTCAAAAAACCTGAAAACGTATGACAACATTAACGCTTAACGCTTCTGCTAATATAGGAGCGTTTACCCTAGTGCTCACAGGATAGTTCATATCAGCCACCATGATGCTGAATTGAAACAATCAATTAGCGACAACAGATTTCCAAAAAGTCCTAGTGTTAGTACCGTGGACCCTCGGTGTACATCACATCTCTTCCTTCGTTCGTTATGAATGGGCTATTTTTCAAGTTAATCCTTTAATCAACGAAAATTGCCGCTAGGAAAACTTTGTTGGTCATAACCATCCGACACCTCTTCTCCATAAGAGTGTAGTAGCTAGGTCGCTTTCCATCGTTTTCAAAACAAAACAACACTTTTCCCACATCAAGAACACGAGTTGGTCTTCCAGTTGAGTTTGTTATTTCGACGTCGCTTAGCGACGTCTCATTGAGAAAAGCGCATGAGCTTCGGCTCACGCGACGTCGCATGATACTCGTTCTCATGAAACGCATGCATCCGGAAATGTGCTGTGCTCAGGGCTTCTGTCTGTCCTTTTTTTCATGAGCAGTCAACATAACCATTCATTCAATTTCAAGCTGTCCTTTGTGTGCGGTACTTCGTATACCATCCGTTGCTCCACGCTACTTTTCGCATTCATAATTCCAAATGCACAGCGTAAC